GTACAACAGCCTTAATGTGCACTGAGTGCGCACCAGTGCAACCAGTGAAATACGCTATAAAATTGAGCATTCCGTTCCAGTTCCGTTCCGTAATAGTTTTTTCTACTCATCCCATTCAGTAAAAACGGAACGGAACGTCACGTCGATCATAAATAAATGTGCTTGATTCGTCGATATTTCGTTATTTTAGGCAATTGAAGCAATAATATACATATAATTTGTGTAATTAACTTATAATGTTGTTGTGAGTTCTCTAAAATACTGAATTGTAACGGTGAAATATATTTTCTAACCAGATTCCGTTCCGTTTTTACTGAATGGGACGGGTAGAAAAAACTGTTACGGAATGGAACTGAAACAGAATGCTCAATTCTAATAAAAAATTCGATCCGTCATTCCGATCCGTGCTTAATGGGACGGCACCCTTACCCCGGATCTACAATACGTATTTTAAGCCTTAAGCCGTAAAAAATTAACCAATTAGAGCCCAGACACACACTCTTGCATAGTGCACAATGCATAGTGCATAAGCGAATCAACCAATCAAAATTCTTCTTTTTCATGGAATGAGAGGAAAGGAAAGATTCTGATTAGTTGATTCGCTTATGCACTATGCATTATGCGTTATGCAAGAGTGTGTGTCTGGGCTCTTACAGTCGAATTCTAGGAGAATAATTGACTATGATTCGTCCATTTCTTCCCAGTGAGAAATGACAATGGAATCAACGTCGAATCCATTGTCATTTCTCACTGGGTTATGGCTTAAGGTTTAAAACTCTATTGTAGATTCGGGGTAATATACATACTACGGCGCAAGATTTTACAAATCTTGCAGCATTGTTATAGAGACATTAAAAACATTTTGGTTTTTGAGTATAATAAATTGTTGTCATATATGGAAATATACGTCAATTACACATTATATGATTATTAATTATTTCCATTAATTTAGAAATTATAATGTTCTTTGAAACATTTGTTGTCGCCTTCGCGCGACAAGATTTTTCAAACTTTATAATCAACTCATAACTTTTTTGGAATATTTGGATTAAAAAAATTCTTTAAATAATAATATGTGCAAAGAATAAATGAAATAGAATACTTGGAATTTCTTATTATTCCCATTTTATCAGTTAAAAATGTATAAAATAGGCGTACATGCATAAAGTATAAAATATATATTTACGAAAAAATATAAAATATATGTCCATATACATATAAACTTTAAAATATATATACCTGCATATAAAATATTTACAATTAAATACAAAATATAATAATTATATAAAATTATATAAAATAAAATATATATTGATCAGTTATTTTTATGCATTTTTTAAATTTATATTACAAATTGTATTTCAAAAATTATATTCAATAAAAATAAAAAAACTATTTTGAATAATAGTTGCAAATACATTGCGCAATCTATTTGCAGTATTACAACATACCAATGAGTAGGTATATCTGCAATTATTTTGCAATCTTTCTATGCCGTATGGGTTATCGTGTCATTTTACATCTTATTTATAATTGCATTATTTGTAAATTTTTCATGAGCCATACATACCTTCTCTCCCCCTATGAGTAGCCATATATCCCACCCCTATGGGATATACGACAAAAATGCAAGGGTTTCAAAGAGTTCTTTTTTAATATGAAAAATAGTTTTTTGGAAAAGTATTTTGGATTTCTAATATTTTTTTCATAGTAGTGTAGACAGTACAAAGTTTTTACTGATATAGTTCATTTATCTTAAAAAATAGTAAATAATACTTAATAAATTAAGTTTTCATTAGGTGCGGCGTATATAATGCCGGAGTTACTCTATAGATTTTGCTTTTATTGCGATGATATCGCTAATAAAGATATTAAGACATTAATAATCATAAAAATAAAAAAAGTACAGAAAAAACATGCAGCTTACTAAATTCTTTAATAAAACTTATTTGCAGTAATAATTTATTTTATTTTACAAATGTTATATGTTTTTTTTTCCTCATAATTGCAAATCAATTTATAATTTATTTAATTATAATGTGCCTAATAACACACTTATTATTCAAGGGAACGTTTTTAGGACATAGGGGAACATCCTCTGAATGTTTTTTGAAATATTCCTTGAAGATCTGCTATTAGGGAATTTAATAAATTTTTCATTTTTAATCAAATTGATTTTATGTTGATTCTTGAATAACTTAGATTGAAACTATTCAATTTAATATATGTTCGATCTAATAATTTTTATTATTTAAGGAGAGGTTAGAAAGAGTAGAGAATTCTCCAGCCTTTAAAAGCTTGTTTTATGCTGAAACGAAACGTGTATTTACTTTTTTATCAATACAGTTTTGTACTGACGAATGTGCAAGATAATGTTTTAATGTTATCTAAAGTGTAATAGACGATAGATGACATTAAAATCTCTTTAATAGTCCCAATTAGATTTTCTTGCGGAATTTGGTTTTATTCGCTCAATGATGGCCGACGACTTGCTTGAAACATTTAAACAAATTCTTTCCCTTTTGGCAACCCTCTCCATCTGCAACAATTTCGATATTTTATTTTATTTTCATTTGAGAGAAAAAATATTTGAGAAAACCACCATGAAATTACAATATTGATTGCGTTCTGATATTCACTGGCTGCGTTCAGGAGAACTAATCATATTAAAGAATCACTAAGCGCTAACCGATTAATTTTCTCCGCTGAATGCAGCCACTGCCAGTGCTGAAAATCTATAGCGCACGTAAAGCGTACCATACTATAGATTTTCAGTACTGGCAGCGAATATCGGAATGCAATTAATTCTTTAAAATTATAAAAATTGATAAAAATTAATCTTGGCTCTTATTAAATTTTTAATTTATGTTATACTTACCAACATTTTCGCATTCGGTACGTAATTTATTGATTTCTTCTTCCGATTTATTATGTTTTAACATGTGCTCACGAACTCTCTCCCAATCAACTTCTCCATTCTCTTTCAACTAAAACACAGGGATAAAAATTAATTTTTCGTTAATTAATTTTCTTAATTCTTAATGTACATTATATATAAAGTGTCCTGACATTTGAGGGTAATATATTATTACAGCGTGAAACTTTGTGAAAAACTAAATAATAAAAGTGTACGCTAATTTTTCCCATAAAGGTTTTTAAATATAACCGTTTAAAGTTTGACTATAATTATAAGTGTTGATTAAAAAGTTATCTGTCCGTGTGATAGTGTGCATGCAGCGGCAATGTTTTATTTAGTGTTTAATATCACTGCATGTGTTACACGGACAAATGACTTTTTAACTTACCTCTTGTGATTATAAATCAAACAGCGCTTATGCTTAAAAAAACTACTCTTTATGGCAAAAAAAGTCTTACACTTTTATTATTTAATTTTTCGAGAAGTTTCACGCTGTAATAATATCACCCTCGAATTTCAGGACATCCTGTATATGTAAAATGTGATATAAGTCTCGCTTACAGTTCCCATTTTCTTTAAGATACAGGTACCGAAACAGGCTAATTTTTCGTCATTTTCATCTGGTTCCCCTTCCTTTGCTTTTTTAAGTACGGCTGAAATTTGCATTATTATTAATGTAATTATTTATTTAATAAGTTTTTTAATCATGCAATTAGTTTATTCTCCACTTACCACGATCAACACCAGACTCCTCGATACATTCTTCTTTCATCTGTTCCTTTTTTGCGCGGTCTTCCTCTGTCATATCACCCTACAATCAAATAAGGATTTGAATATTATTAAATTATTATTAAAAGTATGACTATAAATTATTATTCACATGTTAATGTTATATTTAATAATTAACGCATTTTTTAATGTGCCTATTTGATATTTCTAACGATTATAAAATATTTTCATAATACATCCTGTGGAAGTTAAATAAATATATTTTGGGAAAGGAATAATACACAATCTAAAATTATAGAAATTAGAGAGCTTTGGCAAATAGAGTTTTAAGAACGTATGTGAATATTAGTAAGTTTGATAGAAAATAATAATGAAAATTAATGATACTAAAAATAAGATGCAGAATTTTATAGAGAAATACATTAAATAGATTATTAATGTGGAGATACACATAATAATGAAATAATCTTACCAAAACGGCGACCAGAGAAACGGCGAGCAAGATAACGATTGTTTTCATTTTGATTTTTCGTTTCAACACAATGGAATACAAGCCCGTGATCAAAGAGTTACTGACTGAATCGCAAGATAGTGTCCTAAGCTTTTATAGTTTATGAGATAATGACCCTCCTTAATTCCTTCTCTAGCATCATGCGTGGGGGAGTACCCGAATTATATTCGTTATTCTTTCGAGGTAGCAACATAAATCATCGCAATAATAGCATTATATGCATGTTTTTAGTCTTGAAATTCTGCTATTATAATGAGTGTAACAGATAATAAATAGCAGAATCATTTTTTAAATATATAACACTTGTTATATATACAGGGTGTTTGATAAGTAACGATAAAACTCTCGCACAGAGATAGAGCGGACTAAACTGAAAAGTCCTCTATTATTTTGGAATTTTCGCAATAATTAACAAGATATTAATTACTAAAAATCATCAAATTGATTTTCAATAATTTTTTACTCAAGTACTATTAACTTTACAGAAAAACAGCAAGAGGCAAAAATTGTTTATTTTCTTCTTATAGAACTCTAAGAATTTTTTCAGAATTTTTTAATGTACTTTTTAGTACTGTATTTTTTTATTGGCAACTATTTTTATCAACATGAGAAAATACGATACTAAAAAATTTTCTGTAAAGTTGATAGTACTTGAATAAAAAATTATTGAAAATCAATATTCGGCGATTTTTAGTAATTAATATCTTGTTAACTATTGTAAAATAGTAAAAAAATTGTAAAATAGAAGAGGACTTTTCAATCCAGTTTAGTCCGCTCTACGCCTATGCGAGTTTTATCATTACTTATCAAACACCTTGTATATATTTAAGATGTTCACCAAAAACAAAAAAATAAAAATAATATATTAAATAAGACAATTGAATTTTTATTCCAATTATAGTTACTACGAACTTTCATAAGTTGTAAAATAAAAAAATCACTGAACATGAATACTGAGGCCGTATTCATGATGCACTTTATAATCATAAGTTTGTTCGTATTACTTTTTGTATCTCGTTCCAATATTCGAATATACATTTATCTCTTTTTAAGTAGAAAAATTTGGGGGGATTTCAAACAACGCGAACAAATTTCATGTTAGCGCATATTTAGTTTACGTTATATTATAGAATTTCAGAAATAAAAAGTGCGCATTTATATTGATAAAAGCGTATTCTAAATATGCCTGAATTTTTTGTAAATTGAACGTAAAGAGGCACGATGGAAAGAGAATAGTTGCTTTTCATTATGACACAAGTGATACTGAATCTAAAGTTCTGTGAATATTTTATATTCAGATAATGATGTAACCATTTACTTACTTTGATAACAAAATTATGTTATACAGGTTTATAAATCTCACTTTTAATGTGAATAAGACTCAGTAAAGTACACACTCTCGAGCTTGTGTAGTTTGTAGGTAAAAATTCAATCGAATTTCGCTTGATAGAATGAAAAGAAACGTGCATTCAATTGAGTTATGTCACAAATAAGAATTTTCTGAATTTTGGTGTAAGTGAAAAGCAACTAATACCTGTTACAAATTTTCTTTGCAACACAAATGAAAGAGAGAACAAACTTTTAAACGAAGCAACACAGAATAATGTAACTACGTAACGATCGCTAATGGTTTATAGTTACGCAATAAATGACGTATACACAACGATAACCACTGATGATAACAAAGTATGGAACACAAATTTTGACATTCATCGAAAAAGTGCGAGATGAGATTATATTAATTTAATGTTTGAGCATCATTTTAATTATATTTTTAGCTTAACATATTCGTGTCATTAAAAGCTATGTTTCTAACTGTACGTGTTTGATTAAGATATGGAATAAAAATGCGCGATATGGAATAAAAATTTTTCTCCTTTTTTCCCTTAGAGGTCATTAAGTAGAACTATTTCCTGTTAAAAATTCCTTCGGTATAATAAATATAAATTCTCTGTTTTTCTTGTAATTATTCTCAAAATAAATGCTTAATCTAAAGATGAGTATCTGCCGGATGTGTATACAATTAAATTTCTTGAAATTATTGCGGTTACGTCTATTATAAAGTTTTATTATTCTGAGAATTGATTATCTCACACTACATGCATACGTACGCACACATCGCACAGTCATTATTATCATCATTATATAGCTAATTATATAGAATTTCCTTCATTGTAATAAAGTGTAGGTGTCCTTCTCCTGTCATAAAAATAGTTGCGATAATTTACTATGTAATTTAGTTTACGTATACATTTCATCATAATGAATAATCATCGTGATTCAAATGAAGATGTAGGTGTGCAAGGATAGATTGCAGTTTTCAAGACAGATTATCATGAATTTTGATAACTGCTGATGTTAGGTATTTGACACTTATATAAGAATGTTTTAATTAGTTATATGCAATAGCTAGTATTATCTAGAAATATTGGTCAAAATATCAGCTATAAAAAACCAACATTAGCTAATATCAGAGACTTAACAATTTATTGTCGAATACATTCTGAAACTAACAAAAAAACAAAGCAAAGAAACAAAACAACAAATAGTTAAATAATTTAGCTTATAACGGCTTTTATACATTTATTGTACATGCAACGAAATAATCATAAATTCAGACAACACAAAGTTCAAAATCGGGACATAAAACGTTTAAAGAAAAAAGTCTTAATGTATTTGTAAACGACAAGAATCGTCCAAAAGATGTCTTATGTCCCGATTTTAGTCTTTGTGTTGTCTGCATTTTGCTGTAGTTTTAGGTAAATAACTTTTAAATGTGTGAATGAATCCAAATAAACTTTTGCATAAATATTTATTAGAGTTTTATTAGTTTTTTTAAATTTGTAATGCTATAACAAATGTCTACTTTTAATTGCTATGACAAACAAAAAAATTTAAACAGCAGGGAGCACAGACTCTTACCCGGTAAAAAATTTGTCATGCATGAATATGTATAAATATGTATAAACATATATAAACACGTATAAATATTCATATAAACATATATAATTATACACTTTTTCTTTTGTAAAATTTTTAGTGTAATAAAAATAATAATAATGCAAACATAAAAAATAATTAAAGAAATAATCGCATTGTTACTTTTAGAAAAAATCAAGTTATGTAAAAAAATTGCTCATACACAATTATGTATAATTTTATACATAATTTCATACAAGCAGTTTTTTTACATTTTTCCAAATTTGATTTTTTAAAAAACAAATAGTGCGAAAATTATCCATTGAATTATTTTTAATGTTTTCACATTATATTATTCAAAAATAAAAAATCAATCCTTTTTTCTTTTGTAAAATTACTTTTTAGTGTAAAGAAGCATTTATATTGACCGTAACTGTATGCCGTATACCGTAATCTGTAAAAATTGACTAATCACAATCGAGTATTCCCCTCTCATTCGACTGTAAGAAGGGAATATTCGAAGGTGATTGGTCAATTTTTACAGATTACGGTATACGACATACAGTTACGGTCAATATAAATGCTTCTTTACACTAAAAAGTAATTTTACAAAAGTAAAAAGGATTGATTTTTTATTTTTGAATTGTTTATTTATTGAATAATTACATTATTTGTTTTATGGAAGTATAAAATAAAAAACATTTTCTTTATCAGTAGATACATAATTTTGAGCGGTATGATGTTGAAACTCTCACCGCTGGGATCCATTTTCGGGTATTTTACAAAAAAAAAACCACGCCAAAGGACCCCGCACTAATCCTATATGAAATTGGATTTCGGTTAAATCAAATGGT